CCTTGCAAGCAATCAAAACGGATAGAAAGGAAGCGACGGCGCGATGGAAATTCTGAAAACGAAAGACATGTTGAAAGTGTTCTGATGATCATCCGTTGTTTCACTTTCAAGTGTTTTGTATTTGTCCATGTTTCATGAAACTACATTTTTACTGAACGCATTTTCTAGGAAAAAAATTTTAGATGACTTTTTGACATTGAATCTTTTAATTTTTGTGGCTACTTAGTGTACCGGATGGAGCAGCTATAAATGCTATTGATGATTCACTCAGGAGAAATGCAATCACAACTCATATTTACATGATCTAATGTAATTCTGAATATCATTATTTACGCTGGTGAGAAACTGTGAGAAAATCGTAAAAAAATGCTTTTGAACACATCTTTAAGTGATTATCAGGTGCTTGTGTGGGGTATTGATTTCTGGTTCGTATTATTGAAGGACTCAACTATATATTGTCGATTGTGTTTATAGATAACACTTTAGTACTTGTCAAACACATTTGGCAATGAGAAAATCTCGTTGAAGATCGACGGTTTTTTCCATAAATCTCCCAGAAGTCGGAAAAGTATGCATTCATGATCTCAATTTCTTCAATTTTCCCTCAAAGATTTGATGAAAATAACAAGGAACAGTTCCTATCTTGAGAGCATGTTTGTTCGTTTAATATGTATTTATGATTCAAGCGATGTACACAGTTTCAATTAATAGTAGACATGTTTAATCTCATCAAGCACTTCTATCCGTTAATAAATCTAATAGATTAAAGACATATCAATAACCATGTCATATAATTCTATTACCTATTTAGTCTTTGTCTTTATTTGCTTATTTGCACTCTTTTGATTTTGTCATATTTCTTACAAATCTTATATCAATATTGGTCATATTTCATTAAATGGATTTTTCACGACATAGACATTACATATTTAATATGTCATTTAACAAATTTTAATTTATAATTTTCAATCAAAAAATCGATGTTTTATTACAGAATATGTTGAATCTAGTAAGGAAAACGTAAGGAATATACAAAAAAAGAATAATAATAATAATAATAATAGTAATAATAGTAGTAATAATAATAATAATAAATGAGATTTTAGGGAATAATATAAAATAAATGACTTTTTTCATAAATAAAAGGGTAAGATTATTTTTTTCACAAAAAACTATTATCATTCATTTTAAGGCGAAGAAGACACAGTTAAGGCCAAAATCGTAAGATTTTCCGATTGAAATCTTTAACCAACACAGTGTAAAATGATGGAAGAATTATTGTTATGCATCATTATTATCTACTTTTGTTATATCTGTTTCATTTGGCATAACAAGAGATTTAATACTTTTCTGATTATCATGTGTACCATCTACCGAACGTTTCGATGATTGTTGTCGACTATGAATTTGACGACTGCTCGGCTAATTAATAAAACAAAAAAAAAACATTGACAAATATGAGAACAACAATGCATTATTTTTTTTACTTTTGATTCATGCCAATCAGAATCATATTTCGATATATTATCTAAATAAGATAAATTTTTTGACCAACTATTTGTCCAGCTGTCTCGATTTATGTCTGGTTTACGATCCATAATTCTTTTGATCATTGTTGAATTTTCTCTTGATACACGTAATAATTCACGACGACGTTTTTCATGATTAAGACTAAGAAGAAAAGAATAAGTAAATAATAGAATATATACTTATAAGGCCTCCCTCCTCTTCAAAATCGTTTTTCGATACGATACATGTGATTTTCATGAAACTTTCAGAGGGTATTCGACTAATGAAAGTACTACACTATTAAAAAATTTTCACGACTCCAAATCTTACTATCCAGAAACCATATTACAAAATAGAGCTTTCATGCGTAATCATGTTATTTTCAAAGCACTTCAATGTACAACGTTCGTGCTACTCTCACTTCATAGAGAACGTCTTGCCGCTTCTAACGAAAGATACGTGTTTTTCAACTTTTATTTTATTGTATTTCTTATGGACCTCAAAATCTTAAAACTTCTAAAATCTTATCTATCTAATAAAAAAAAATGCGCAAACATATTTATTGTATGTTCACCTGAAGAACTGTCTAATATAAGCATCAAATATAGTTTTATTGCGTGTCAATTCAAAATTCATCTCGAGTCTTCTCAAGTGGCCTTCTGGCGATAAGTAAGAGTCATAACTACAATAGCGATTATAATTTTCCTATGGATATGGTATTTGAATTTTTCGCTGGAGAGCTCTAGAAACTTGTTATGATACTGAAAGAAACTTTTTAACATTAAAAGTCATTCTTATAAATTTTCAAAATAGACACGTTAAGGAAAATGTCGATATGTTTATCTAAAAAAGTCGAACTTTTAGAAGAGAAGGAAAACCTTAAAATAATCTCTTACCTTTTTGCCTCATAATCATTACGATTATCAATACTACCAGTTGTACGCATAATATTCGACATTTTTTCTAATAATATACGATTATCACGCTCAATTGTTGCCGAACGTTCTTCTTCTAACTATATAGAAAGAAAAAAACATGCGCATACTATTTTATTAAATGACACAAAAAAAACAAATAAACCAATTTTTTTATATAGCCTAAAATGCATAAGCACACTTACAATTTATATCCAACTATATAGAATTAATTCAATATATATAGAAGAAAAACAAAAACAAAATACGACGAAAAATATACCTGAAGTTTTTTCAGTTTCATATGAAGATGCATATATGTTCTTGGTGGACGTGTGTCAACAGTTGGTCGAGCATCACGTACCTAAAAATGATCATTAATTAAAAATAGAAATACAACAAACGAATATAGGACGTTGGTTGCAAAATATTTTCAAACTAGTTGATTGTTTATTTCTTTTCTATTACTAATACGCCATACACATTTCTTAGATCATCTTAATAATCATCCTACAATACTCAAGTCATCATGGAATATTCGTTTTAGAGTGTGACTCGTAGTGTCAATCCTGAAACTATCTTCAAGATCAACTAGACAGACTTCACGAATGACTAGTTCGTAAAGAATGATGATCTTAGAATTTCGTGTAAATTTTCATTGATCATATAAAAACTTTGTTTCATAATATTTATCATATATTTCTTCTTTGGTTTTGTCATAGAATATTTTCCACTATCGTGCAATATCCTAATCAAAACGAAGAGAATATTTTCATAAACTTTAAATTAAAATTGCATTGAAGTAAAAATAAACCGATAGTAAACTTTGGAAATTTACACGAACTGAAATCATCAGTTGCTTCTTTTTTTATGATTAATTTAATTACCAAAAGTCGATGTTCTGAATAATATTTATCATCCCATTTTTTTTGAAGAAGACGATTAGCAGCTGGACGTGTTGGTTGATAAGATTTATGCATCGATTTATCTTATTTTTCAATATCTAGAAGTACATCAATATGAAATGAATAAAATAGATTACCCGACAACAAAAAAACAAATATTTTATCTGTTTTGTTTTTACATAGCTACGAAAAAAAAAGAACAACAACAAACACAAGAACAGTTTATCCAGATGGTGGTCGACTATTACTAATTGATTGAATTTCTTCAAATTGTCGATAATGAAAACGACTTGATTGTGCTGCAACCATAATACGTACAGCATAAATACCAAATGCTCCTTCTAATACAATAAATGCTATATATATAATTTCAACAGCAAAAATAAGTGGCATTTCAATATTTTGAATTAATGGATAGATAAGTAAAAATATACTTAATGGTATTTGAAATATAATTGTTAGTAAACAAAATGCTGTTAACTCAGGCATTCGTTCAGCTAAATTTCCTGTATAACCCAAATATAATCTAATAAATTCAATAATTGTTTTAAAAATAAATGCAAATATCATCAAAATCTTATGATCATTTGCATTGGGTAACATTGATAATACAGGTAAAACGAAAGTTAATGAAAAAAGCCAACAAGGAAAAAAACAAATGTTAAAATATAATAACATTTGCAATGGTAAACTTGATGAATAATCAATTTCAATTCGAGCTTCTTTAGAAACAAGATTATTTCCACGTTTCAAATCATTTGGATCCCTAGGTGTAAATACTGATGTTGCCAATCGATTGAGACGATCATTAACTGAACGTGGTAATTCAGGTGGACGTCGAAGCATTTTTTTTTCAAATGTTGATTGATAGAAAAATGAATGACATTACCATTATGCACATTGTTGCTTTGGCAACAGATGAGATTATTTTGAAAAAAAATCTCCAACGAAGAAAACATATATATGCATATCTCATTTCAACGATAGATGTCTCAAGTTTTCAGATTAATTTTTGTTAAGTTTTCTATTTGAAAGTATATGACTGATAATTAAACTTTCATAATATTGGGAAATAAGTGAAACATATATTAACTTCTTTTGAATAGATTATGTTGAATCGAATAGACATTACCTTATATAATATTAAAATAAATTCAAATTATAGTCACTGAAGCCTACATTATGTCAATGAGAATATAAAAAAGCTACTTGAATACCTTTAAATAAACATCTATCTCATTAAATATATATTTGTATTACATTATAAAAGAAATGTTGATTCGTTTCATAGAGAAAAAGAATTTGATTCAAAGTATTGCTTCACAACGAATTGAAATTATAATAATTTTGTTTAAATATGCAAAACATATCTAAAGATTGATTTATATTCTTGGAATAATAAATTATTGTTGAATATTCTTATAAGAAATTCTTTCTTAATTTTGTTTCAACGATTATATTGAATATATTTTTCTTTGTGCAAAAAAGAAATAAAAAGATTTACAAGTTCAATATTTTATTGCAATATCTCTATCATAGTTAAAGAACAATAATATGAAAACATAATGATTAATTTCAATTTTCTTTTTCTTTTGATCATTATAAAAAGATAACAATTATATCTATATATGTATATGGGTGTGTGTGTGTGCAGGAAAAATATCATATCTGACTACGATGCACATTTTTTCTTTTTACGAATTTTAGGTATTTTTATAGGAGCCGTATTATCTATTTCGCAAGGTTTAGGTTCTAATGGAGGTAAATTTTCATTATTTTTATCAACATGCATAACAAATGTAGCATTGACAACAACAATTGGGCGAGCATTTGATGAATTTTCCAAAGGTTTGAAATTATTCGTTGTTGTTTTATGTATATGTGTTCGTCTATTAAAATATGATAAATATTAAAATATCAAAGTTCTTGTTTATTTTCATGTTTACTAACTTTGCAATTGTTTGTTCTAAATGTTTCCAATATTCTTTTTCTTTTTTAACTATATTTTTTATTTGAAGATTATAATTATCAATTTCATTTTTTAATATTTTTAATCTCTAAAAAAAAAATGAAACATATATACAGAGTAATTCAAAAGTCATCAGGTAGTTTTTGATTTCGAATAATTTTTGAGAGAAACAAAAGGAGAGAGTTAGAGTTTTCACCATTGAAAAGAGAAGACTTCCAGAGAATCGAACCCTATAAAAAATTACATTTAAGAGGGCTTTAAAAAACCGAGGTTTCCAAAATTCTCATAGCATTTTAATTTCTTCACGGTTTTATGGACTCGTAACCCGAGCGGGTTTAGACTCGAGGTTTTTCTCCCCATTATCTGATGTCTTCAGTGTAATTGAACAAGAGAAGGTTCAAAGTTTTAGCTATTTATTGGCTACTCTCACAAAAAAGTCAACGTAGAGTTATATTTCGTTCTTCATTTTCTAGTTGAAGAAGCTACGTGTACACAGAAACGTGGACCTGTGCCCGACAAAATATAAAACTTTGGACCAAGGACAGGGTTAGGGAGGACCCACAAGTCATCTCTTTTCTACAGTGAAATTTGCAGTTCTGTTTCTGTCTTTTATCATAATTTATTCCTAATTAAAAACTCCCTAATGACTTTCAGACTAGACTATATATGAAATAAAGCAATGAAAATCATTTATCATAATTCTATTACTTGTTGTAAATGTTCAGCTAATGAATTTGAATGACGATAGTTATTCAATATTTGTTTTTCATGTTCTATAGCTTGTAATTCAATTGTTAAATTATTTTCCGTATATTTTAATTGACGACATAATCGTGTTTGAACTTATGAATAATAAAACAAAAAAATATTAAAAAAACAATTAGTCATTAATTGATTTCTTACCAATAATAATACTTTTTTTAATTAATCGTTTTGCTGCTAAAAAAGCTGATTTATTTTTAAGAAATATTTCATTATTCCATGTTGTACGAAATTCAATAACATCTACTAAATCCATTATACTATCTGACAAATTTTAATCATCTGAAAACGAAGAAAATTATTCGTATTCGATTCTATATTGCATAGAAAATACTTATTTCTTTCATGTTTTCTTGTTTTCCTTTTCTTTTTTTTTTTTAAGAAGATGTGTTAAAGAAAAGAGCACACAAACAAATACAAAAAAACAGAAAAAGAAAGAAATTGATGGAATTAAGATTAATAGCGATAACAGGCTTTTTTCAAGAAGAAAAAAAAAAAGAAGGCGAAAAATAAAAGAAAAGGTACACACAGAAAAAAAAAACTTGTTATTTTGTAAAGACAAGCTATACAAGAAGAGGATCACTTTGCCACAGAAAAAAGAGATATAGAGACACCACACTGAATAGTTGCACGAAACTCTTTCAATATTGCTGTTTCGATTATTTTTCGATTTTTGATGATGATAAATATTGCAACAAATAAAATAGACCTGGACAGAAGAAGATAACAGAATATATAAGATCCACCGGCTTTAAGAAACCAATCCAATACACTGTTGAGTCATTGTCATTTAGAACATATAGAAGTTCGAAGCATATTAAAAAAAACAATAAAACTTAAAGATTGAAAACATGAAAAAAAAAAACGATTCACAGTCTGATTGCCCTATTTAGACAACAGTATAAAAACAAACAAAAGAAGAAGTAAAATTAGATAATAATATAGTATTTTATCAGCAAAGATCACAAATATATATATATATAGAAGACTATTTCGTAAACAAGACGATGTCTTTTCGTTTGTTTATTTTACTGCATTTGCTGTCTCTTCGAACTGAAAACAAAAAGAAACAAAATAAATTAGTATTCTTATTTTCAATCGCTGGTACACATACCACAATACATACAATAAGCCATGCAACAATAATATTTACAACATACATACATGCACAATACATAAATATCAATAAAAATTTATTTATTTCTTACGTGTAATCTTTGCATTATACTATTATACAACTGTGAATTAAGATCTTTTTCTTGAACACCTTGTAATTCAAAACTTCCATGAGTTTTCTATAAATAAACATATAAAATTACAATGAAAAAAAAAAAAAACAAACTACAAAACATTCGAAATTTACTTTAACTATTAACATTAAACAAGCTAATTGATATGGATGAAGACTAATTTCTGTTCGTTCTCCAAGCCACATAAAAATAAATTGTGTTTGTTGTCGATACCATTCCTATTTTTTTTTTTTTTGAAAATATTTATTGAATCAAAAATAAAATCAAAATCAATATTATGAAACTAACTTCAAATATAGTTAATGTAAATATTTCATCACTAATTTTTTGACGTAACTGTTCTAAATTAGCATTTACACATGATACATATGCTTGACCATCTTCATTAATTGGTTTCTAAATTCGAATAAGTAAAAGATAATTAGATAACAATAACAAAAACACAAAAAATTCTTACTGTCAATGAAAGTATTTGAGCAAAAAATGATCCTTCATCATAACGTGATAATTTTTTTAATATAGAATCAAGAACACTAAGTAATTTTTGTATTAATGCTTTTGACATATCACTTAAAATTTTTTCTAAATATTCATCAATACGTGTATGATATTGATGAAGATCACCACTATGCAATGCACATAGTTTTAAAGCCTAATAAGATAAGAAAAAAAAAATCTATTATTAATACAGAAAAACAAACAATCAATTATTTTACTTGAACTTTACAATCAAGTATAACATTAATCATAACACAACATTCAGATGGTAAAAGATAATCGGAACTAGTACCACCAATTAAACCACCTTTTTTAATCCATGTTTCAAAATGACGCCATACTCTAAAATATTCATCAAAATTATTTCAATAGATACATTAAAGTTGATTTTGAATTATCTATTCAATTGAGAATACCTACAGGAAATATTTAAACGTACACAATTCTATTATTTAATAACTTCGATTTATACTTAGGACTTTTACGGTACATAGAAACTTTTAAATACCTTTTTGTACAAGCTTCAATCATATCTGAGGCCATTTGTTTAAGACGTTTTTCAAGATGTTCCCCAAAGATCTCATCCGGCTAAAAAAAAAAAAGAATAATTGTTAATTATAAAGATTTCATTAAAAAAAGAAAACACAATGATATACCCAATGTAAATCACGAATAAAACATTGTAAGGCATCAAGTTTCCATAAAATATCTTCACTTGTTGCACATCCTCGTCTAAAATAAAACACAAAAATGACAATATTATACTTTGAAAGAAAAAATTTTCATACGTTTTTGGTTTCCAATTTTCTTTTTCAAAACCTTTATGTATTGATTGTGCTATACATGATTCCATTAAATCAACATAACGAACAACTAATGGTGCAAATGTATCACGTAACTGTTGATGAAATCGACCATTTGATAATGACTCTGAAAAAAAAAACTAATTTCAGTATAAATAAGCGAACTAAAATAAAATGTTACCATGCATTCGAAGATAATCATTTAATAATTGAAATAATGGAAATGAATCCCAACTTTCAATTGGTTGCTGATCAATAACATGTTCCATATCAACAGCAAATAATGACCAAAAAATTTCTTCATGTTCAATTATTAAATCATTATATTGTTGAAATGCTTCTCGATAATGTTCTGCATCTTGTTGTAATAATTCAATACATAATTCAGCTAGATGAATTAAATCATCAACTTTTTTTCTCGGTGAATCATCACTATTGTAAACTGTTTCTAGATAAAAAATAAAAAAACAAAAAAAAAAACAAGACAATTAAAGAATATAAAGATAAAAAAAAAAAAAATTTTTAAAGAGAAAAAAAAAAGATAAATGTTTAATTTTTTTCAGGGGGATAACGGTGTCAAAATCATAGATCAACCATTTAATTGCATGCGCTTTTTTTATGGATGAACTATGGAGAAGAATAAAAAAGATATAAGAAATGTATGTGTTATATGACAACAATGCTATACACGATACACAATAAGGCATTTAGATTATTAAAAAAAAATTACAACATTGCCAAACAAAAAGCTGCTATTGCTACAATGAAAACGAGAAAATCAATTCAGAATAGTTACTTAATACAAAAAGCATATTATCTCATTTAGAAAAATTTTTTTTTTTTTTTTTCATTTATTTAAAATCAAAAAAATAAAGAAGAGGGATAAAAAAGAATGGGAAAAGCTTTTATTTACGGAACATCACTTGTAAAAAAAAGGTAATTAGAAAAAAAAAAATAAGACACATGAAATTTACCGTTATCTGTTTGCTGCTGTGTCTCTCGTTCGCCTGGAAAAAGAATAGATCAATCGAACTAACCCATATACACTCACACATATACATCTATACTAGTAAATTTATTTCCAAATATAATAAAAAAAAGAGAAACAAGAGAAAAGAAAACGAACATTGGTTACAACATCGGAGCAGCTAGCGGCGGCGATATAGCAAAGAGTGCGATGGCAAATATACTTTTATCTTTTCATATTTCGTTCTCTATTTTATTTTGATTAAATGTTCCCCCTGTCCCCATCATCCCCCGTCTCTCAAAAATATTTTTCTTTTTTACCTTCAATTTTAGCTTGATCAGATACACGTGTATAATTAATATAAGCTGCATTTTCAAGACATTTGCCAATAAAATGTCGTATATCATCACGAGATATTGGTGTAGCTAGATCTTTAGCTGAAACACGTTCTAATAAACTTAATGTTGCTTTTAATGCACCTTCGGGTCGACCAAATGGAAATGAAAATCTAGAAAATATTTATTTATTTCAATTTATTTATTTGTAAAAAAAAAACTTACCTAAAATTAGTAACTTGATGTTCAAGAAATAATTTTAATCGTTCTTTTATTTCATTAAAACGATCTTTTTCTTCCATTGTAATTGTCGATACATTATTATCAGGTCTATAAGATAATCAAATCGATGTTTGCTTTATATTAAATGAAATATTTATCTTTTTACCTATTTCCTGAGACATGTGAAGCACAAAATACATAACTATAATGAATTAATTGTGGATCAATCATAAATCCTTGTTCAGCTCGATCGAGTAAATCATTTAAATAATATAAATGTCTTAAACAACCACGTACACCATATCGAGAACAATATTCTAAATAATAAATGATTAATTTATTTTAAAATAAAACAAATACAAATATTTATATATCAAATTTTTCAAAAAAGCTATCAAATCTTGTCATAAAATTCAGTTCTCATGCCAATTCTTCAAGGTTAAAAAGGATGCTATTTAGTCTTTTTTTGTCACGAAAATTTTACGAATCATCAAGACCATATAACTCAATCAGAAAAAAACAAGTAGCACATTTCCTACAGAATTAAAATTTGAAATATGATATAGCTGAACTTGCTAATTACGGAAAGATTGTTTTATTCTATCTATTTTGTAGCACATTTCTTCAAAATCCTATTACTTCATTCTCCAGAAATATAATAAAGAAATAATACATTTATTATAATAAGACGTTATTGATATATGGTCTTTGACTAGCGTCTGTTCCAAACTGTAAGGGATAGAGTCCGTCAGGTCCAAAGTATTCGGAGCCGGTTCTGATAGGCTTTAGTGAAATGCATATTTCGATACTCATTTTAGATAGAGTTTTATAAAACCAATGAACCTCTTGTTACTAGTTTTATCTGTACATTATTGTGACTTATACTATTAACCTAAATAGTAAAATAATTACCTTCAAGTACGTAACTTTGTCCTGGACTTAGCCAACCCTAAAACACAGAACATAAACAATTTATTTTAATTATAAGAAATAATCTAATTAGCATTTCTTTCTTTTTTTTGCCTATCACCGGAGCTTTGTTATATTTTATTGTCTAATTAAAATAGCGATTAAACTTACGTTTTAATAGCCTATAGTTAAATTTGAATTTGTTTTTCAAAAAAATCAAGGAAAAGAAGATTTTAGACAAAAAAAAAAAAGCTTACCAAGGAACAATATGGATCACTTAAGCGATAATCAAGTGTTGCTGTTTGTAATGTTCTAAAAAGATCATGATGATCAAATTTACATGGATCACCTTGAATATATTCATCAAAACCAAGTTTTTTCGATCGATCTGTATCTAAAAAAAAACAACAACAAAATATCAATAAATATTCTTCATAAATTAATATATAGAAATGAAAACATTCCCATGCAAAAAATTATTCATGATTTCCTTGTTGCACATGCCATGCTAAACAACAGTACAAAAAAAAAAAAGTAACTCGAACATCACATTGTTTAGCTGGGATAATTTTGAATAAACTTCTGAAATAATTTGCTCTTTCTACGAGATCATATGACTGAGTACGTGAAACAGGTAATTGTCCTATATAGTATACGTACATAGATTGTTTTTTTTTGTTTTTATAGTTATTTCTCATGAAAAAGAAATTTGAAAAATAATTTCTTTCTATTCTTACCAATTTGGTCTTTTTGTCCTGGCCCAGAAGCACCTTGTGATGATTTATTTGTTGCAGTTGTTGGTGGCGTTGGTTTATGTGACTGACCTGTAGCACGATATAATGCTTGTACCCAACTATGTCGTTCATTTTCTTCGTTTGTTGCACATGTAACAACATCACCTTCACGTACAGCTTTAAAAAAATACTTTGCATCATTCATAACTAAACCTATGCAATCAAAGATATTATTTTATTAAATGGTTTTTTTTTCATTTTTTGTAAACAGATAATTTACCACTATCGGGTTCAGCATAATCAACAGTATAACCTTCAAGTGGCATCATTTCAGTGGGTTCAGATTTCTTTTCACGATAACTACATATAGCAAAACAATATTGAGAAACCTAAAAAAGTCATAGATTAATTTCAAAACTTATATTTAAATCTTTATTGTATACTAAACTCTAGTTTTGTTTTTTTTTTATAAAGATATGATAGTAATTCTCGATTTTAAATTCTTATAATTTAGTAGAAGTATTTTTCAAGTGCAGTAAAATTTTTCTGAATTTTTTAAAATTTCATCTTAATCAGTATTAAATAAGTTCGAGTTAGATATGTATGGAACAGAGTTTTTTTGGTTTCGATCTCGATTATAGTTCCATAGATTCTTTTCTAGTATTTCTAGTCAAGGAAAAACTATTTTGGAATTTATTTGTATGACACTTAAATAAACGATTCTTTGATAGTCGGTTTTTAGCTAATTTAGTTCATGATTAGAACATTTTTTGGTGCATTTCTCTGTTGAGTTACATTCTGATTGATAATTTAGTAATAAGATAATTCATTTAATAACATAGAATATTTAACTATAGTCTTAGGTTCCGGTTGGAATAATGTTTTGCTCATAGTTCTACTCCTGATTTCAGCAACTTCTCTTTCCTGTGGTTCGCGTTTTGGTTCCGCCAATTTTTTTTTTTTTGTTATAGTTCCACGCTTGGGACTAAAATTTGTTGCACACATATCTAATTTGAGTATGTCTTTATATTTTGAGTTTTATTTTGTTAAAATTTTTTTACCTGAACTAATGCATAGTATCGTCGTTTCCATGTTTTCCAAACATTTTTACCTCGAGCATAGCACCAACTATCAACAAAGAATTAATTGAAATTAATCAATTTATTTATATGTAATCGATACATACCCACACATTTTAAGATTTTGTGGTTTTTCCATTCGTACATCTAATTTAACTTTTAATTCATCAGTTGATGTACTTTTATTTTTTATCATATCTGTCCACCAATTCGTTTTATTAAATGTAGGATCAATTTGTAATATTACTTTACCAAGTTTATTATCATCTAAACTAAGTATACCTGGATTTTCCATATAAAGTTTAACTTTAATTATAGGTAAAATTTGATTTGTTGGAAATTCAGCTAACGATTCCCAAACAGGTTTTCCAGCTTCAGCATGTTCAGTACGATATTTTTCACCACCTTCAACTTCCATTGTACAATAAACAATACGATTTGTTGGAATTGATTTTAATCCACGAACTTCTTTTACAGTTATATTAACATTAAAATTTAATACAAATGCTAATTTCGATAAACCTGGTTCATTATCTTCTAAATGATTACTTCCATCATTATGTGTTGATCTATTTGATGAATTAGCACCAGATGATGAACCACTACCCGTATTTGTATGACGACTATGACCAGTAGCACGTTTTGATCTCAATGGTTTTTGTTCTGAACCACCACGTACTGGTAAACTTTCAAGATTACTCATAAGATCATTTATTGTCTTTTTTAATTCATCAACATATAATGTATCCATTTCTTTATGTACAAATTTCGGCATTAAACCACGTTGCTAAAATAAAAATAAATAAAACATTAAAAGAGAAAGAAAATAATAACAAAAAAAAAAAAAAAAGAATCATGCTGCGCGATTAATTTATAATTTTCTTTCTACTTTAATTTCATGCAAGCAATTAAGAAGAAAAAGAAAAGAAACCTTTCTTGTTTTTTGACAAAGATCAGTTAATAGATCCTGGAATAAGTAGAATTAACTTTGTTTATTTTATTATTATTTTATTCGAATTTTTATATTAAGTCGTTTTTTTTTTTTTTCGTTAATTAGTTTTTCTACACTTACTCTTTGTAATGATTCAGCTTGTTTCATTCGACCATCAAGTTCACGACGAATTGTCGCAGCTTGTTCATCATTATTATCAAGCTATAAGAATAAAGTATCAATGAATATTTCAAAGATTAAAATTTTATTTTGTTTCTTACTTGAGCACTATTAAAAATCATTCTAAACAAGAAAAAAAGAATCTTTTAGAAATATTCAATACAAACTCTCTCTTATATTCTTTTATTCATTATTTGCCTTTCGGAAGTGTTTACTTAATAATTTTCTTTTTTTCAAAAAAATAATTAAATGAAATTTTCTCCTCAATAAATTATTTCTTTTTCTAACTTACTGATGTTCAAATTTTTTAATTGATAAAATATTTTGAAACATATCATATAATTGTTCTTTACTCATAATTAATTCAGCTGATGTTGATAAATAATTTGATTTTGATAAACGTCGACCAGAATTATCTTGATCTTGATCTTGACCACGATAAATAGCATCAAATTTTGACATCCATAAACTAAGCACCGTATCTTTGCTTATTTTAAGTGAATCAATATCAGGTAAACTTCGCACACGTTTTTCAATATTTATACGAAATACATCACGAAAATCATCCGAACAACAACCACCGGATTGAACCATTTTACCAATACGTTCACTTTTAAGAAATACTTCATAATATGAACGAACAGCATTTATGAAAGCTAAGAAAACACAAATAATGAAAAAAAACTCTTTCTTTTTTCTTCATTCATTATTTACCTTCATCTGCTTCAATATGAGTTTTACCACTAAGAAATGCTAAAAATCTTTCTTTAATAACACCATATTGAACAAGATTTATTTTTAAATGTTTTCTTGCCATATCTGACGATTGCTTTGAATTAAATGGACATGCAACACAACGACAAATGAAAACATATATTTGAAGACGTTTACGTTTTATTTCTAATTCACGTTCTACGCGTTCATTTTCTTCACGTTCACGATCACTTAATAATGATGGTGATGGTGATGGTACACGATCAATTGGTATGCCAGTTGCACTCGATATTGTTGTACCTGTTGATGAACTAGTTGTATTTGTTAAAGGTGTTATTAAATAACCAGCATTTGATATTGATGTATGTCCTTGTGGTGGATGAAATTTTATTGATATTGAATTTGATTGTGGTTGTGTTGGTAATGGATGTACATATTCTTCAGATGATGTTGATGAATCAGCACTTCTTAAACTATTCGAATCATTTTTAATAGTTGTCGATGGTTGGTTTGTTTCATGGTAGGAATTTACATTTATTGATGAACGTGTTGATAATAATGGGGAATCATTTGTTGAATTTATTGGTATACTTGTTAATGTACGATGTGATGTTGCCGGTGATGCATATAGATTACTCGGTGCAGATGGATGATGAATTGATGAAGGTTTAGAGGATGATGATAATAGATCGACATGAGATAATTTTGGTGTTAATAATGGTGAATTAACATTAGAATAAGGAGAATTTGGATTTAATACTGTTGTTCGAGTTGATGAAGGTCCTGAGCGATTTGTAGACAGCTGAAAAAAAAAATTGTGCAATTTTTTACATATGTGTTTTTTGTTTAATCATTAAATTATGCACGAAACAAACTTACCGGTTGTTGACCAATAGCTCCGCCTTCATTTTGACCGACCTCTTCATCCTCATCTGTGGAATCATGCAGCATAATTTATTGTCTTCATTATTATATGTTAGGTAACCTCATCAATAAGAAGATAGATGAAAGTCATATAGTCATCGATGTTAATTACATATTATCAATGATATCTTTGTATGTATCTATGAAAATGAATTTCTTTTCTAAAACAAAAAGAAAATTGTAATAAAGAAAACAAATAATTAAATGTAAAACGTTTAAAAAAGAAAACAACAACTATCTATGTCTTTATCTAACCGCTCTTGTTCAATCACAAGCCGTCATTGTGTATGTTGGTACTTACGAGCGCAAGCATGCACGCACACTTCAAAAAAAACACACGTCAGTCATCATTGGCGCCGTTCATTGACGTGAGTACTCGCATACAAACTGACTAAGCTACTACCTCTCAATTCTTGTTAGCACGACTAATTAAAATCCTTCTCTATTCCTTTGACAAACTAGTGTGCACTCTGCCATCGGCAGTCGTTGTTCTCGCTACTGTGTTGCTAGTTGTTGTTTTTTTCTTCATGAACGCACGAGCACAAGCTGCGCCTTTCCCTTCTATTGTCTCTCTGGAGAATAATTAAATTAGATGACGCGAAACGATGATGAAGCAAACATTCGCGGTAATATTTGAAGAAAAAATACACACACATATATATATATATATATGTATCGATATATGAATGTCTTCTCAATTCGATAACCATCAAACAACAATAGGCAACAATCAAATAGTAATATAAAGTGATTAACTTATCATAGAAAAAAATTCAATAGTATATAGTTCTATTAAAGACAAATAGACGAGCTCATTGTTTATTTATTTATTTTTCATTATCTACTACAGTTATAGTCTTATCGTCATTTTTTTGTCATATCATTTCCATCTTTTTCTCTTTCTCTCTCTCTCTCTCTCTCTAGCTTTCATTTTATGTGGTTGGAATAACATCTCGCATAAAAGAATAGGAAAAAAAACAACATGCGTTCGACGTGCTCGTGCACAAGCATTCAAACGCATAAACTAGGCTTTTTCTTCCTTCAGCTTTTTCATCTTCTTCTTGTCTACGAACGATGGTTTGTTATAAAAAAAAAAAAAAAAAAAAGAGAGAGACCGAGAGAACTAGGGACTTAGTTGCTACAATAACATATATTCAAAGTCAACAGAATCACTAGTATTACCATACAAGCAACATACTTTCATGATATTGATTGAGTTTAACCAGTTTAATCTTGACATATATAAATATTTTGTCTTCTCAAAAAAAAAAATATCCTTTTTTTGAAAATGCAACTGTAAATACGATTAGATGATCATCTTATCAATATCTATGATGACGAAATGAACTATGGTCAATGAAATTTAATGAACGGAACATCTTTGATTATAGAGTTTCAACATATCAAGACACGCACACACCCACTCGAGATGATGAACTGAAAGAGAAGAGAAAAAAAAGGACAGGAAGAACGACGAGAATCGCTAATCGATTAGATGCAAATCCTCTTCGATAGAAAGAAGAGTGATGAGATGAAAACGATTAAGGAAATGAAATGCTCACAAACACATAGAAAAAAACGAGAATGAGTATGAATATAAATGTAAAAGAAACACCTTTTTTTTTTTCTTTTGTTCTTCTTGCTGTATGTGATGATGATCATTGAATGAAAAATTAATGGAAAAGTTCGAGCAACAATATATACACAATACACACATCGCAGTGAAAATCATTGACCTTCATTGATACAAAAGACGAAGTTATATGAGAGAAAAAAATTTTCTTATAGACAAATCATCGCATCAAAACGATTTCTTCTCTTAATACCATTTTTTCCACATATGCGCACCTGATTAGTAATAGCAGACAGTTCTGATGTGTCTGTAACAGATTTGTCTACAAGGCCTAAATAAGAAAAAGAGAGCGAGAGAGAGAAGGAGCGCATAGGAGAAAAAAAAGAGAAAGAAGAAACAGAAAACGAAGAAAGCGGATTTCTTTTATGTTAGTTAACAATGTCAGTGACAGCCTTATCTTGAAACAAGCCGATACTATTTGTTTTTCATCAGTAGAGCAGTTTCAAACGTCATGCCATAAGCATTTCTATATGAAACAAAAAAAAACGACAAAAATGTTCTTCAATGTGCATTCACCGAATGCAAGATAAATAGATCGACTGAACAAATGATTTTGTGTTTGTATACTAACAAAAAAAAAAAAATTTTTTCGTCTTTTTTCCTTTCACATCAACATTCTCTTGTAACTTCACACAAACACACATATATATACACACACCCCAAAGGATCAGTTTTCTTCTGACTTGCATTTTCTTTTTTTTTTTTCTCTTGAAAGACATTCGGTGTTTACTTACATACTACTAAAAATGGAAAACGACAAGTATTATAACGAAAAACACAAAGAAAAGTATATACATATCGATAAATGAACAACGAAATTGGAGTAGAGTATCTAGAAGACTAAGCATGAAATGCAAAGCATATGTGCAAATGTGAATGCACTGAAAAAAATGACACAAAGAGAAAGGCTACTATATTTAGTATTTGTTCTCATATTAAAGAGCTGGTAAAGTAATCAACAGTCGGTCTTTCATAGACACATATGAGAAGTAACTTACGTGAAAGTATTTTAGAAAAAAAAGACCTGATTATTGTGATATATATATATATTTATATGAAATAAACTACGCAGATTGACAGACATCAATGTGAATTTAATCCAATATCAACATTTCCAAATGTTGATAGTAAATTTATAAAAATTATAATAATCTCAATTGTAGAGAAAAGAAAAAGACTTTTATTTGTCATAAAAAAAAAACACGTTCTTCATCAATCAGACAACTAACTAGAACAATAAAAAAAAGAACAGAACAAATAAACAAAAACCAGCTCTGTCATTGGTCTAATAAATCAAATGTGACATCTAGATAGGAAAGTAATAGCTTATTGGTATTTTAAGGAACCAAACATTATGAGTCAACATTTGTCATATTATTTCTTTTTTCTTATTTAAATTAAATGGCAAATTACGTTAGTATAACACCTCCATCTCGAGCAAATATAGTTAGTGATCATAAATATCGTTTACGATATTTTAAAACTCCAGCTTGGTGTCCTTATTGTGAAGATTATATATGGGGTTCTGGTAATATTGGTTATCAATGTACAAAATGTGGTGATTATTTTCATGTTGAATGTACACTTGTTTTAACAGCTGGTACATGTCCAGGTTTAAATGCATGTCATGTTAATAATCAAAATTTAATAACATATGATACAAGTATACCAATAAATGATTGGACAGTAAATGATGTATGTGAATGGTTAGCTGTTGTTAATTTATATCGTTATGCACCTAATTTTCAATCATTAAAATATGATGGTGAAATATTATTATCATTAACTGATGAACAATTAAAACATGATCATATACATGATAGTTATCAACGACAAGCTATATTAGATGCAATAAAAGAATTAAAATCACGTGATAAATATCGTCCAATATCATTTGAACGTTTTCGTACACAATTATCAACTAATAATCATGGTGATAATTTTATTTGTACAACATTTTATGAAAGACGTTTATGTGATTTATGTGAAAAATCTTTATATGGAATAATTCATCAAGGTTTACAATGTAGTCGTTGTGGTCTTGTTATGCATAGACAATGTTCAAAATTACCATCAAAACGTTGCGTACATACAAATAAACAACTTGAATGTCATACAATTATTGGAACAGATTTTAATGATCAACCAATTGATTCTAAAACTCAATTACCTATTATTATAACACGTTTATGTCAATCATTAGAAAATATTGTTGAAGATAATCGAACATTATCATTAATTGATGCATATAGATTTTCAATTGAATCAGCACGAATAGCTCAATTAAGAAAATTAATTAATGATAATGTATGAGAATATATATTATTTTTTTATTTATGTTGAATTGTTTATTTTAAATAAATTTCTTTATGTTTTTTTTTTTAGGATATTGAAAAAATGGATTTTAAAAAAATGGAAATATCTGAATTAGCTAGTTTAGTTAAAATTAGCCTTAAAGAACCTGGAATAGGTAAGTTTATATCTTATAAATAATGATTTATTAAAAAATCATGTAAATATGACAAGTCACTAAATTAAATATTTCAATAGAAAAATTTTTTTATAAGAATGATTTATATGAATTGTTGATTTATGTCAAAAGAAAAAAAAAACAAAAAAGTAGAACAATAGTGATTGAAATGAATAGAGACGAATAAGATTGATGATCTTTTTTTTTTTCTTCTCTTTGTCTATCGTATTCGATAGAATAATATATTGTTAAATCTGCTTTTTATCTTATTAAAAATTAATACATTTCAATGAGGAACATTCATGAATAGAAATTATTAATTCTTATTCTTATTATTTTTTTCTTTTTGTCGAACAAATGAGTACAAGTTGATGTTATTGAATATTAAATGAATAGAAACAAGAATGCATTAATAAATTTATTTAACTATTCGAAGTTTTCTTGTTTGATTGTTCAGTATTCTTACAGATATTTCATTTGTTTTGAATGATTAACTAATCGGAATCGTTATAAATAGACTACACTAAGAGTTTGAATAGGATTTTTATTCAGAATTTCCCTTCCGGAACTCCAGGAGGGCAAACATCTACTGTTAGGAACATGAGCACATAATATATCATAAAATTACCACAAACTTTAGGAAAGTTGAATTGATCTTCGAGTAGACACCTCCTTCTTTCTCTGCCCCGAAAAAACACTGGAAAAAGTAGTTTTCATATTTGATGATCAAGGTAACAATTCTTTCGTTGCATGTTTTCGTATACATAAATTTATAAATTCATTTAATTATTGAGTTAATAACTATTAATCAGAGTAATAATCTAAGAAAAAAAAAATTTGAGTTAATTATACTGTAAAAATACATATTATTAAATTATTTTTTAACTGTATACAGAAAAGCAATGAGCAAGATCTACGAAGTAT